CATTGCAGCCTCAACCTCCTAGCCTAAAGAGATCTTCCCACCTCAGCCTCTCCGGTAGCTGGAACTACAGGCACACACAGCCACGCCTGACTACTTTTTTTATTTTAATTTTTTGTAGAGATCAGGTCTCGCTATCTTGTCAAGGCTGGTTTGAACTCCTGGGCCCAAGTGATCTGCTTGCCTCAGCTTTCCAAAGTGCTGGAATTACAGGCATGAGTCAGTATACCTCGAGTTTACATTTATTTATTTAATTTGTAATTTTTTTTTTGTCACCCAGGCTGGAGTGCAGTGGTGCAATTTCAGCTCACTGCAACCTCCACCTCCCGGATTCAAGCAGTTCTTCTGCCTCAGCCTCCCAAGTAGCTGGGATTGCAGGCACCAGCCATCCAGCTAATTTTTGTATTTTTAGTAGTGACAGAGTTTCATCATATTGGCCAGGCTGGTCTTGAACTCCTGACCTGAAGTGATCCACCCGCCTTAGCTTTCCAAAGTGCTTCAATTACAGGTGTGAGCCACTGGCCATATTTCTTTAATCATTAATGAAGTTGGGTATTACTTTTGTGCTTGTTAGCTATTTGCATTTCTTCTGTGAGTTTTTTGTTCATATTCTCTGCCTGTTTTTTTAATTAGGTTATAGGTTTTTAGGCTTATGGGACCACTTCATAATACATTGATGTCAATCCTTTTCATTTTGTATTTATTATGTTTTTCAAGCCAATCATTTGTACTTTAATTTATAGCTCTTCTGTCTCCATGCAGACATTTTAAATTTCCAAATAGTCCAGTTTCCCCTTTTATTCCTTTATGACTTCTGAATTTAAAAGCATTTACCCTCCTCCCCAAAATAAAGTTAAAAACACTTTTCTGTTCCTCATCCCAAGATTATAAAAAATATGCTCTTAAATTACTTCCAGTACTTTCACAGCATGTTTTTAAGTATGCATCTTTAACCAGTTGGAATGTATATTTCTGTGTGGTATGAGCAAGAATACAACCATAAATGGGCCAGTTAACCCGGACAGTTCATTGACTTCATATGCTTCCTGATCATGTTCTAAATCCCACTTATTATTTAATGATATCAACCGAATACTTTTCTAATTATTGTACTTTTATAACATGTTTTGTTTGGTAAAGCAAGTCTTTTTTTTTTTTTTTTTGAGGCAGAGTCTGGCTCTGTTGCCCAGGCTGCAGTGCAGTGGCATGATCTTGGCTCACTGCAGCCTCCACCTCCTGGGTTCAGGAATTCTCCTGCCTCAGCCTCCTGAGTAGCTGGGACTACAGGCACTCACCACCACACCCAGCTAATTTTTGTATTTTTAGTAGAGAGGGGGTTTCAGCATGTTGGCCAGGATGGTCTCGATCTCCTGACTTCATGATCTACCTACTTCAGCCTCCCAAAGTGCTGGGATTACAGGCGTGAGCCACTGCGCCCAGCCTTTGTAAAGCAAGCCTTAACGTCATTCTTCTTTCTTTAAAATATGTTCTTGGCTCTTCTCTATACTTATACTTCAGGATAAATTTTAGAATCCATTATCAAATTCCAAAAAGAACTTTTAGAATTTGTTTGGAAATGTATTATACACACAAATACACATGTACACAACGTCTCACATAATGCATGATAAAATATATAACAGTGGTTATCTCTAGATGATGGTAATATTCTAGGTGTTTTTTTTTTCTTGGTTCTTTTCTTTATTTTCCAAAGTTTTTACAATATTTATGAAGTACTTTTAATGTAATTTAATTTTATTTTATTTTTGAGATGGAGTCTTGCTCTGTGGCCCAGGCTGGAGTACAGTGGCATGATCTGAGCTCATCGCAACCTCCGCCTCCTGGGTTCATGCACTTCTCCTGCCCCAGTCTCCCAATTAGCTAGGATTACAGGTGGATGCCACCACGCTTGGCTACTTTTTGTATTTTTTGTAGAGACAGGGTTTCGCCATGTTGGCCAGGCTGGTTTTGAATTCCTGGCCTCAAGGGATCCACCCATCTCAGCCTCCCAAAGTGCTGGGATTTCAGGCGTGAGCCACTGTACCCAGCTGTGAAGCACTTTTAAATTGCAGAAAACTCCTGAAAAAAGGTTCTTAAACTAAATTGTATCCTTTAGTAACTTCATGATTATCTACTTAACAGAAGTCCAATTAGAATAAAAAATATTTCATGGGAAATAAATAAGTGACTTGTAGAGAGTGAAGAAGAGATACCTGGCTCAGAATATAAACTAGAATTGTCTAGAATATTCCTGGGAAGGGTCGAGATGGAACACTGAAGCAACACTGCCCCACAACCTCTTCTGTAGCTTGGTTGATGTCAGTTCTACTGAGACTTGAGAGTTTATAGCCTTTTCACTTAGCAGCATTTCTGGGTTTTCTATGCGCTGTATTTACAAGGCACCCAGCCTCCTAGCTTTCCCTGTTGAAGAGATTCTTATTCATGTGGCACAGCCAGAGCTTGAGATGCACCAAGACAGTGTGGTCTAAATGTGGCCCCTCAGTGTCCTGGTCTTTTAGTCACCAGTTAGCAGAAAGAAGATTGCTAGGTCTGTTCTTAACGCCTTGACATGTTTAAAAAGCACAGTGCTAATTCTTGGCTCAGAGCATCTAGATTCTTTTTTTCCCCCCAGTCTTGTGGTGCTGAGCATTTAGATTCTTGCAGTGGAATTAAAACTTGATTCTCAGTTTGCTTTGCCTTTTTTTGCTTATTTAAGATGGAATCTCAGCTGGCTCAAACCTGTAATTTGAACATTTTGGGAGACCGAGGCAGAAGGATCACTTGACGCTATGATTTCAAGACCGGCCTGGGCAACATAGTTAGACCCCCATCTCTAAAATACAAAAATTAGCCAGGCATGGTGGCACACACCTGTAATCCCACCTACTTAAGAGGCTGCAGCAGGAGGTCGAGGCTACAGTGAGCCTAATCAAACCATTGCACTCCAGCCTGGACAACAGAGGGAGACCCTGTCTCAAATAAATAGAGAAAGGGAGAGAGAGAGGAAAGGATGAAGGGAGGAGGGAGGAAAGAAAAGAAACAAGAAAGAAAGAAAAATGGGATTTCACTGGGTTGCCCAGGCTGGACTCAAACGATCCTCTTACCCTCAGCCTCCCAAGTAGCTGGGATTATAGGCATGTACCACTGCACTCAGCTCTCATTTTCCTTTCTAATCTATATGCTGTTACTGGGTGACCTTATCCATTTAATAACAAAATACCTAACATTTGTCAAGCATTTTCTATGTGTTAGGCATTACACTTTATATGACTATCTCATTAAATCCTTAAAACAGCCCTATAAGATAGGGCGCAGTAGCTCACATCTGTAATCTCGGCACTTGGGGAGGCTGAGGCAGAGGCCGGAGGATCACTTGAACTCTCAAGACCAGCGTAGGCAACATAGACCCCCACTCTCCAAAAAAATTAAAATTTAAAACATTGGCCTGACGTTATTATTGCCTTATTTTACACATGAGGAAACTGAGACTCGGAGAGGTCAAGGTCAGATAAAGTAATTGGCAGAACTGACCTTGAAACCCAGGCAGCCTAACTCCAGAGCCTATGTTCTTAACTATACTTTATATTCCATTTTTCATTTTCCTCCTTTCCTTCCTAAAACCTGCTCTGCCTCCTACATTTTCTGTCTTATTTGTCCAGTATCCCCAGCTAGAATTGTCAGAAATGATTCTCCAATTCTCCCTCACATAACACCTCCTCCTTTCAGTCCTGTGTGTCCTTTTCAAGTCACTGTCCCTCCCTTGGCTTCAGCCCTGCCTAAGCCCCACCTGGGCTGGGAACAGGAACTGCCCTTGACGGACTCTTCCTTCTGCTCAGTCTGTCTTTCACATCTTCTAAGTTGTCATCTAAGAAAGTGAAGATGCTCGTGTTACTGTACCACTTAAAAACTCATGGACTTCTTTTTTTGTGGTTTTGGTTTGGTTTGGTTTTTAAGCAGATCACCCTGGAACTCTCTCACTTCACATGCTCAGTCTGGCCCTCAAGTGTGTCTTCAGCTCCATTTCCTGTCATTCTCCACCCACTCCCCATGCCTTACACTCCTGCCGTCTTGAGGCTTCCCTTTTCGCAAGTTCTGGGCCAGGCCTGTCCTCGCTCCATGCATCAACCTTTGTTCTTTTGCTCTAAGCCTCTTCTGTCTTTGATCTCCCAGGCAGACTCTAGTTAGCTCTCAAGATCCAGACCCCATGCTCCTTTAGTAGCTTTTCCTCAGACTCCTCCAGGGTGAGACAGTCACTCTTAGGGCTGCCCCTCACATGCTCAAGCCTCAGCTGTGGTCTCACTCTGCTGGGTGGTCGTTTATCTGTTTACGTCCTTGTCTCCAGTGGGTCTTCAGGACAAGGACCAAATCCCTTCAGCTTTTAGCACCCAGCACAGAGTAGCTCAATAAATGTTAAATAAATGTTAAATAAATGTTAAAATGCTTGAAGAAATGTGAAAGAAGTTGTTAAAAACAACAGGAAGTTAGAACTATACTTTCTTCTAAACAAAGGGATTATCTGTGTTTCTCAAAGTAATCTCTTTAGCTAAATCAGCAGGCCTCAGGTAGGGTAGGCTAATGTACCGAATGAAAATGATACATGCAAATGGAGAAGTCCTTTAATTATAAGTTCCTCTAGGGCAGGGGTCACTTGACAAAGTTAAGATCCCATCTGAGATCATAGCGCCCCTCTCTCCCACTCCCACCCACATTCATGAGTCTGACTTGGTGGAACGAACATTCTGTTTAAAGTAAGAAGCCAGGGCTGAAGTCACAGCTCTGCAAATGATCTGCTTTTGGGCCTAGAACTAGTGACTGACTTCTCAGGCCTCACTTTCATGAAGACACATTTGATATTGACTTTTACACTTTTCTTACAGTTAATTTTGATGCAGAGACACTTCACATAGAAAGTGCCTTTTTTGTCATTTACTGATGAACAGTAATTCTTAGCTCAGTGCAAATAGGATTGTTGTATCTGAAACCCATCTTCCTTTTCCTTTCAGCTTCAGAATGAGTTAGAGAAAGGTGAGCGGGACAACGCAGAGCTGCAGGAGTTTGCCAACGCCATTCTTCAGCAGATAGCAGACCATTGCCCCGACATCCTAGAGCAAGTGGTCAACGCACTGGAAGAGTCCTCCTGACGCTGCTTTGTGCGGAAGCCTGAGGTGGTCGACCCAGGACAAGAAAGGAGAACTACAAGGAACAGGCGCCCGGAACCTTCTTGGCACCAAACACTACAAACTTCATCCCATCTTGCTCACTTGAAGAAGTGTGATTCCAGCACCGTTTCTACATCTGCCATCTTACTCTGCCTTTCTGCTTTGGATGTGGTCTATACACTAATCTTCCTGATGTTCAGGGTGGATAAAATGCCGAGTCTCTCTGAAGAAGTGCCACCTGGTCGTCAGCAGTGGAGAACTGTGGGAGCTGGTGGCTCTGCCCTGACAGAGGGCCATGGAGCAGAGGAGACTCTCACCTCCTGTCCTCTGACATGAGAACAAACCAGGAATCTACTTGGAGTTCACTGGGCTGAGAGGATGCCTCCAACGGACCAGAGAGCTGACTGTCCTAATGTCACTTTAGGTGCTTTCTCCTAAAAGGGTAAAAAACAATCTCAAAAAGAATATTAGAAAAAGAGAAAGGGGGAGGGAAGAGAAAATCGACTCTTCTTTTTACAGTGAGATGCTTTATACAAGGGAGCTGTGAGCAGGCCTCACGATGGCTTGGGAGTGCTTGTCCTCCACGGTCTGAGTCTTCACCCAGCCCTGCCGGTCTGTCCCAGCCTTCCTCATTCTGTTCCGCAGCCAGTTAACAAGAAGATGGTATGAACTGTTCTCCACCAGTCTCTCCTGTTTGAGATTGCTGACTTTATCATAGTGAGGTGTTAGATCAAATATCTCTTATTTGAAAGAGAACCAGCCAGGGCAACATGGCGAGACCCTGTCTCTACAAAAAACTAAAAAGAGAACATGCACAGTTGACATCTGAGGCCCTGTTGTCCCCACCTGCAGCTGTGCCCCAGTAGCAGATGCCCTGATCATCTCCAGGAGGCTGCCTGCCTGCCCCACACCCGTGTCCTGCGGCCCAGTGGCCGCTGAAGTTTTGATCTGTCACTCACCCTGCTAGCTCTGCCCTTGACTCATCCTCTCGTAACCTCAGCCTTGTGCATTGCCTGGAAACTTCTTCTGGCATAAATGAAGGTTTCTCGTTCTACACACATTCCTTCCTTGATCATTTCATTCAGAGAATATTTATGAAATGCCTACTGTGTCCAAGTCACCCATCCTTGAAAAGGCCACTTTTCAGTGAGGGAGAGGTGTAGTGGAGTCTGTGAGACACACCTGCCTGAGCCAGAGCGCTAAGTAGCCTACCCTTCCCTCTCCCCATCTTAAGAAAAGGTATCTTTTCTAGAAAAGTTCCCTAATGGAATTCCTGAGTTTGGGGGCCTCAGTCACCCACTTGCCTGTAGGATTCCATTTGATGATTCTGGATTTTTGCTGTTCGTTGTTGCCCTTAGAGGGACTCTGAGTATCTACTTGTGGGTGGCCATTTCCTGACACCAGCGTGTACCTCGTGGAACTCAGCCAGCTTCATGTTGCAAATCAGAAAGCGGACCCCAAGACTACAAATCCAATGGAAGGTATTGGCGTTGTTAAGGGCATCTTCCCAAGCATAGACAGTGACAGTCATAAGTAATTAGGCACCAAGAAGTAGCCCACTTAACCCGAATCTAGCCCTTTGGCCACCTCTACCACCAGAACCCAGCGGCTACTCACATCTTCTGATAAGAATTGCTGGACTCTAAAATGTTTTTGTTTTGCATTTTCTCGTCATCTTCCCCACTTACTTAGAGAATTTAAACTCTGTAAAGTCAGCACAGCCCCATCAGTCCAAGAACTTCCCACCACCAGCCCTTGACTGTCCCATTAACTTATATGGTCAGATCTCCAGCTCCCCTTATTTCCTGCTGTAAAACAATTCATCTCCCTGTGAGAAACTGTGGAGCATTTCTTACTGAAGGTTTAAATGGACTCTGCTCATAAACGTCTTGCTGAGATGCTTCCTGATAGTGAGGCTGGCCAGAGAGGGGTGCAGGAGTTAGACTGTAAGTGGTAGTCCTTTGTGGTCAATTACCTCAATTCTGTTTATCACTGAGCCCGTAAATCATGTGGAAAGCTCCCAGTACTTCAAGGCAGGAGTATTAGAATCTCACTTTATCCACCGTATGATAACAGCCTTCACAGGCCACAGCAGAACCAAGAAAGCAGGTGAGGCGATGCCTAAAGTGGCCTGAACCTGGCCCTGGCCAGCTGTTCTCCCTCTGGTCTAGCCGGAAAGGCAGCAAGCAGGTGCCCCAGATCCCACCCACGTGGCCTTTCTCATCAGGTAGAGCACCTCCACTCTCACCCACTGGGTGAGTGACTCTTCATCTCAACATTCTCCATCACTTCCCCTCCAGAAAAACTTACAGAAGGAAGCCCTCTGTGACAGTGCTTCTGAGAAGAAAATTTCTGGGACAGATATCATCCATCTGGTCTCTATGAACAGCAAGGAATCTTCTTGGTCCCTCTTGGGCACTGGTCTGGCATCTCCAGTGATCTGGAGCCTGGCTAAGAGTTCAATAATAAACATGGCCTGCCTTTACGCTGTAGGGCAGAGTGGATGCAGTTTGTAGCATTCAGAGTATCTCACTGAGTCTAGAACATTCACTGAACCAACACTTACCAAATGTCCCACCCCCATCTCACTAGGACATGTCATTCCATGGCCCTCTCCTAGTAGTCATGGTTTCATAAGGTCACGCACCTGCTTCTGACGTTACATAGCCTTGAAAACTCACTGTGGATTGCCCTTAATCTTCCCCAGACTCATCCATCGGCAAGTCTAGTTGCCCTTTAGCACCTAAAGATCTGTACCCCAAGTCAGTGTCACCATAAAGAGGGCAAGAAGAAGAGTGGGTGTGATCCCAGTGGGGTTTTGTAACTGAAGAAGTACAGTGTGAGGTTCCCATCCTTTCTTAGGCCTCTAACCCCCGTACTCATTGAATCACGGATGAAGGGTCTCCATTGAGATTTGCAAGGACTTTGATTGCATTTGAAATGGGAAAGATTTTGAATGGGCTTTAACATGTTAAGAAATATGGATGGGACCGGTGCGGTGGCTCACACCTGTATTCCTAGCACTTTGGGAAGCTGAGGCAGGCACATCACCTGAGATCAGGAGTCGAGACCAGCTTGGTCAGCATGGCAAAACCCCATCTTTACTAAAAATACAAAATTAGCCAGGCGTGATGGTGGGCACCTGTAATCCCAGTTACTTGGGAGGCAGGAGAATCACTTGAGCCTGGGAGGCGGAGGCTGCAATGAGCCAAGATCACATCACTGCACTCCAGCCTGGGTGACAGAGCAAGACTGAGCTTTTAGGGAGGCAGAGGCAGGAGGATAGCTTGAGCCCAGGAGTTCGAGACCAGCCTGGGCAATATAGAAAGACCCCATTCTCCACAAAAAAGGAAAAAAAAAAAGAAATGTGGATGGAAAGCACCAAATTCATCTCAGCTCTAACCTTTTAACCTTTGTCCTTGCACTTTACAATCTAAAGAAGATCTATGGATGGCTCTCCGCCTTCCGCACGCTTGGGTTTTAGAAGTAACTCGTAAAGCAGACTACACCCAAGGCCACCTGCAGTGTTGAGAGTGGCATTGTGATTTGCCATTTTTTGTCAGTTGAAGTCTGATTTTCCATGAGGACCTTGCGGGCTCACCCACCCCCAGAGTGAGAGAAGAGGAAGGCAAAGTCATCACAGACACGGTCTTAGCCACCTGCTGAACTAATCCCTCCCCTATTGAGGGTCAGGGTTGTGAAGGAAACCATAATGTGTCACCCCAAAATACAAATGTTTCCGAGCTGCCCATCCACTGGCATTTGGATCTGCTGCAGAGTCCTGTTCCTCCCGGAGCCATCCCGCCCTCCTGCTGACCGCATGACTTGGGTGTAGGCCCTGTGGCTACCCTCGGAGTCTTTGAGGAAAGAGCCGAGTGGAAGACCTCGCTGCATGGAGTGCGACACCACAAGGCATTTCCCAAGCCCAGGGAACCCCGTGACAGCAAATACCAGTAATTTCACATCTGCTTCTGGCCTCATCCACACCTGCCTGGGTTCAGAACTAGGAAAAAGGATGAGAAGAGACTGACTGCAGTGCATGAAGCATCCTCCGCAGAGCAAGTCCAGCCCATCCATCACTGCCAGCCCTGGGCTTCTCAGGAAGGGACGTGAACCACTCAAAGGAATGTCTTAAAAAGAATCTGGAGTTTCCCCCGTGCAAATTAGGGAATAATTAGGCAAGAAAAGACATACATTACAGGGAAATCCTTCTGAACAAAATGGCTGTCTTTACTCTTTTTAAGCAAAAACTGTCTCTGACTTTTTAGTGTCAAAACTGTAACCAACTGTCTCCTGATTTTTTCTAATGTGTTTGGCAAGTGCTGTGACCCTGTTGTAGGTGCTTCTCCTGACTCTCGGGGGAGAAGTGGTTTTAGGGCTTGATTTGGGGGAGCGGGTTTTTGTCCCATCCCACCTCCTCTCTTCTTTGCTTGTCGATATTGTCTGTGTGCTTCAGAGAATTGGGGCAGTTACATTGTGTCTGTTGTTGAGATTATTAAAAGATTAAAACGTAGTTGTAGAAATGAAAAATTAAAGAGCTGTGTTTTAAAAATGCAAACCAATATTTTGTTAAGAAAGGAATTCAAGCTATGGGGCAGCCACACTCCCCTCCTCCTCCCAAGCTGGCATAGGTGGCCCGGGCTGGTAGCTTAGGTAGTGACTGCTTGGGTGAGAGACACCTGCCGAGCAAAAGGAAGGAGAATTCGGGGCTCAGAGCCTCACACTGTGCCGGGTTTTTCCTTTACATGCTCAGGATCTCTGGGTAGAGGTTTCACAGTTTGTAACCCCATAACCACCCTCACCCCACATGGGTCCTAGCTCAGCGTGCCTAACACTGCATGGTAACCTGGGCTTGACTCTGAAGCCCCTGCCTGGCAGGCCACAGGACCTCTCCTGCCCACTTGGTGCTATCTCGTCCAGTGACCCACCCAGCATAGGTGAGCACTGACCAGCCTGGAGCCTGCAATCCAGGTGGAACGAACTGTCCTCCGTGTCAGTTCCTTCTGGCTTCGGGCCCTCGATTATTTCCCTTTGAGCTTTTTCAGACCCCAGATCTCCTAGGCCCAGTCTCACTCTCTTGGCCCTAGAGATGCCACTGTCAATAAAGGAAGTGAACCCTACTGAAGGCAGAGAATCTCCCTGGCCAGAGCAAGACCTCTGGGTCCAGCCCCTCTTTCCACACCACGCCAGTATTGCATCCATCTGCTGCAGCTACACGTCCTGAGGGCAGCACCGCCCACTCTGGCCTGCTGGCCCATTGCAGGACTGGCCCGGGCACCTGCCGATCACTGCAGGATGTCCAGTGGGGCCTGTGGTTCGCTCCCCTATGCATCAGAAGAGAAGTGTTGCACTTTATGGAGGAGCTGAGGAGCACCGGGCCCGCCCCCTTGTAGCTTGAGTTCCTTTTGGTAACAGTAGCAGCCTCCATGGTGGTGTCTGTGATGCAAATGCACCCGCTGCCTTCAACAGTATGTGTGTGTTCCTGCTGGAGTTGTGTTACTGACAGGATAATGACATTACAAAAAAATCGTGTTATATTCAACTTTGCCTTGATAATTATTGTAAACACTTTGTTCATTTTTTCTTTTTTATTCACAAACTAAATCCACCAGGAATTATAAAGTTATTTAAAAACTGTGTGCTGTGTCCTTCTTTGAGTCTCACCCAGCTGATCACTAGGCAAGATGTGTCCTCAAATGCTAGAAAAGATGGATGAGGCCCGCAGTTCCCAAGAGGCCAACTACAGTGGCAGGCAGCTGGAGAGCCGAGGGTCCCAGGGTTTAGGGTGGGTGTGGGAGTCACCACACATAGCCCTGATGGGCATGGGGCCACATCCCCCAGCCTGTTGTGACCTCAGAAGAGTGAGCCTCCTCTCCCTTCCTGCCTGATCTCCGGGTTTGCATCTTTCAATGCCCAGTTCCCTTTTTCCTGCTTTACAGCCTCAGCCCCAGGCCAGGTTTTCCATGTCATATCTCACTCTTGCAGAGCTTAGAGTAGGTGCCCGGTGCTGAGGGATGGGGTTGCTCTGGTGCCAAGATAGAAGAGCTATGAGGACGGCCCATTGAGGGAGGGCTTTGCCCAGAACTGGGACTCGAGCTTCAGTGGGGCGTGCTCTGATGCACTGACTCGGGCGTGTGGGCTGTGTCAACAGAAAGTGTGAGTGCCAAGAGTAAAAGGAGCCAAGGAACCCTGTGCTTGGACGCGGCTGTCGTTTCCAGCTTTGGTGTTTGTCTTGGGCCTTTATGCTCAACGAGAAATTATTCTGGGAATTTTTTTTTTTTTTTTTTTTTTAAGGCGGTCTCACTCTGTCACCAGAGTGGAGTGCAGTGGTGTGATCTGGGCTCACTGCAACCTCCACCTCAGTTCAAGCAATTCTTCTGCCTCAGCCTCCCCAGTAGCTGGGATTACAGGCATGTGCCACCACGCTCAGCTAATATTTTGTATTTTTAGTAGAGACGGTTTCACCATGTTGGCCAGGATGGTCTCGATCTCCTGACTTCATGATCCGCCCTTCTCGGCCTCCCAAAGTACTGGGATTACAGGCATGAGCCACTGCTCTGGGCCTGGGAATATCTTTTATGAGAATTAGTTTTTTGCTTAGCCTCACTTCTGTGTCTACCCCAGAAAGGAATCAAGTCAGCTTCCTGCATTCCTTCCCTC